TTATATGCCCTTTTACGGGACATATTTTGGTACACCATTGTCCGTCCGTCATCAACATATCGGACAATAACTCAAAAACTCTCTAACCAATTTTCATGAAATTTTGGTGAATTGTTTATATCAACAAGGGTTTCCTGGTTAATGGACAATTAAAAAAAAGTACAATGTTATGTTTGGATTACCTCCCTTACACTGCTTTTAAATTATGTATAAAGAAATGTATTGTCTTGAGGTGATTAGCTGTCAATTTATTTTTAGAAGTCACTATTTAAAAATGCTGATTAAGGAAGATTTAATACATTAATTTTAGCCATGATTATGTATGTCATTTTCTATTTTAAGACTTTTATGATGTATTTAAATGGGTTATTATGGTTGCAAACTCCATTGGAAATTTGAATTGAGATTTTGACCATATCTTGAGGGAAAGAATGGGGGTGAAAAAAATTGGGGCGGGGGTAAAAAAAGAAATTGTGAGGGGGGGACAATTTTTTCTCATTTCAGATTTCATAAATTAAAAAGAAAATTTCTTCAAAAATTTTTTCTTTGGGGCAATCCGCAACAGCATAGTGTATTGCACAAGAGCAAAAAAAAAGGGGGTAATTTTTTTTTTGGGGGGGGTGTCAATTTGCAACAGCATAGTGTATTGCACAAAAGCAAAAAATTGAATATAAATTCAAATCAGATAACCAAATCTAAGTTCTTTGACTACAATTATTCTGTGTCAGAAACCTATTATGTGTCAAACATTTAATTACAATCCAAATTCAGACCTGTATCGAGCGTGAATATTGTGTCCATTTTTGCCCCAACTATTCAGGGTTGGACCTCTGCGGTCATATCCAGCTGCGCTCGGCGAAGCAATTTATTATAAATTTTAGAATTTAAGTTTGCGAGGTTATGGGATTTTATTCATAAAAAATGTGGGATTTTCCAGTTTTCTGACTATAACTCAAAACCTATTAGCACTACCAGGTGCCAGCAATACCACCCACAGTAAGCCTATGATGAGTGCTGAGGTGCATACCTAACTGCATCACACCCTTGTAAAACAATCATTGATAAACTCAATTTAATAATGATCCTCTGGAAGACCTCTATTGATTTTGAGGTCATAAAGTCAAAGGTCAAGGTCCCAGCTGCAATTGTATGGCATACCCGTATATAGGTGTATTTTTTTTATAAATTTCTGGATGAAATCAGCTTGAAAATGCCTCTTGGGTCAAATGTCAACAAGGTCACAGTACTTGTAAATAAACTGAATTTTTGTCGAGCCTTCAACTTTTGTCGAAAAAGCGAGACATAGCGATCCTACATTCCGGCGTCGTCTGCGGCGTCCACAAATATTCACTCTGTGGTTAAAGTTTTTGAAAATTTTAATAACTTTCTTAAACTATCCTGGATTTCTATCAAACTTGGACAGAAGCTTGTTTATGATCATAAGATAATATTCAAATGTAAATTTTGTAAAAAAAAAATTCCATTTTTTCCGTATTTTACTTATAAATGGACTTAATTTTTCTGCAGGAAACATTACATTCACTCTGTGGTTAAAGTTTTTGAAATTTTAATAACTTTCTTAAACTATCCTGGATTTCTACCAAACTTGGAAAGAAGCATGTTTATGATCATAAGATAGTATCCAGATGTAAATTTTGTAAAAAAAAAATTCCATTTTTTCTGTATTTTACTTATAAATGGACTTAGTTTTTCTGCCAGTTAACATAATTCACTCTGTGGTTAAAGTTTTCAAAATTTCAACAGCTTTCTTAAACTATCCTGGATTTGTAACAAACTTGGACAGAAGCTTGTTTATGACTAAAAGCTAGTATATTAAAGGAAATTTTGTTTAAATTTTGTTCCATTTTTTCCGTATTTTACTTATAAATAGACTTAGTTTTTCTGCCAGTTAACATTACATACAGTCTGCAGTTTAAGTTTTTAAAACATTTATTAGATTCATAAACTATCCTGGATTTTTACCAAACTTGGACAGAAGCTACTTACAATCAAAAGATAATATAGAGAGGAATATTTTTATTAATTTTTTTCCTCATTTTTGTTGAGCCTGCAATTAACAGCAAAAGTAGGTGAGACACTGGGTTCCGCGGAACCCTTACGAATTGTTTTCAAAACAAATTTCACAGCAATATCTTATAATCTATAAATCAGATGTTTACCAATCATTGATAAAAAATGTGCATTGGGTAAACAGTCACTTCAGCAACTATTGGACTGAAACTGGGCAAATTTTCAGTTTTGGGATTACATCTTTTGATTTATACCTCCAATTATTAACAAAACTAAGTTGATAACTATCATGACTATATTTGGTATATGGGATATCATCCTGGTTTCATGTATGTCAGACAGGATTTATCTAATTGTGACCCCATTTTGATCTTTCATTTGTCAATGTTAATTATTGGCAGATATGTTCTTGGATACTGTAAGCATTAGATCAACTATTGTTTGTGTATTGATTGATTGTAAGGTTTACATGTCAGCCTTATAGGGTTCATTTGATCATGACCTCATTTTCATTATTTTGATTTATAGATCATTAGATATTGCTGTGAAATTTATTTTGAAATAAATGTGTAAAATTTTCCTGGTTAGGTCTGTTTCTCTGATGTGTTTGTATTGTCCTGATATAAAAGTTGTTCTGAGCAGTTTCTGATTTTTTTTCAATTCAGGTTTGAAATCCAACTTGAACATGTAGAACCTGCCTCCCTTCATCAAAAATTCAGTTTCTATTTGGTTTTATTGTTGTATTGTATTGCAGCCTTATGGATGAGATGGTTTATTTTAAATTCCTATAATGAGTGATTTTCTTAATGGAGGTGGTCATCCTTGGAGTGGTCAGTTGTGCTGAAATGTTAGTTTTAATATATTGATAGTTTAACATACTCCTCATTGTCAGTGGTATTGACATTATTCATTTAAACTTATTTTTCTTAAAAGCAACAAAAGAGTACATCTTATCAACTTTATTTGATGAAATTTTAACAAAATAACTACTATCATTATATAGCACTACAAAAACAACATATAACAAGCACACATTTTTAGCAATGTAACAATAACAAATTTAACTGTCTCTGGAAAGACAACAGAAGTCTTCTGTCAGTGACTGTACTGTGGTGTCGTTGTCAAGTTGTCCTGTCCTCTGTGACGTCTCTACGGTGCTGTTGGTAGATCTTAATGGAGACGAACTGGCAGACTTCATGATCAGGGTAGACAACTCTTGGATCTGGTTCCATTTCTTCTCTCTGTACTGGTTATACATCTTACGAATTCCAAGAGTGGTGGACTTTTGGGTCTGGAGGCGAAGTCTATAAGAATGGCAACCATTGATGTCTGCTGCAAACAAGTGGCAATCAAGTTGTTGTTTCTTGCATTCTGTAATAAGATAACAATATATATTAACATACAAGAATAGCTTTTAGTTGCAATTTAACTAATCAGGATTGTTTACAGAATTCCTACCATGATAAATAAAATCAGTTTGGGATTAATATATGTACGGTAAAAGAAATTAAGGAAATTATTCATATTTATTCTATTCAATGTAGATTTTACATTTTTTTTATCAAAAAAATTCTGAGAATGTTACACTATTTAAACTTATAATATTGATAACCAAGATAAATAAACAAATAGATAATTACCTAATAAATTCAGTTGGGTAACTACTTGGTCATGTGACATCAAAAGAGTCTTTAGTTGCTGAGCATAGTATACAATGCTAGCGTACTCCATCATGTAAGTTACTTTTTGTGGTTTGAATGAGGAATTCTAAGGTTAAGAATGATGTGAAAATCCTCCATAGTGGATCTGTATATATAATGTACAATTTACTCAAAATTATTTGGGCTTTGTGTATAATGTAAAATGTGCTCACCTTTATACCAAAGTTCAAAGGTGTTTCAAAAGGTTATTGTCTTTTAATCAATTAATAATTGAAGATCAAAAGAGTAACTAAAAGATCAAAGGCTTTTCTATATTTTTGTTTTAATAATTAAAGATCAAAATATTTGATTATAATTTGTCAACTAATTATGATAGCTTATTACTTGATTGATTTTAATCAATCATAGGGTATACTGTTATTTTAAAATCTATTTCTAATTGCAGTAGTTACTAATTGATTAATAATTATTATTTCAAAAGTAGTAAGCTGTTGTAGAAATGTAGATAAATCAGTGAATACTTAATTTTAGGGTAAAATAAATAGAGAATAAATTCATTGTTTAAAAATGAAATTAATTCTTTTTTTTTCAAGAGGTTATTTTTGTTTCAAATATGTTATTGATAATCATTATCAAAGGGAATTAGACAACAGGCCACTTGCAATGCTTAATTACATCCTCTCCCCATAACAAGACGGAACATATAAACAAGACATCATATTTAAAATAAAATAGGAGTTATTTCTTTTGGATCAGAGGGTTTTGATATCTGATTTGTTACTTATGATTGTTAAAGCCAATACAAAAATAAGATAGCCTCTCAGGTCTGTCCTCGTCTACTCAAAGCCTGTTTAATAGGCTATTCCTTTTTTTTTTAAAGTCCAAGAAGTAGTCATTAGTTTATACACTGTTTCTAAGATATAAGAGTTTGAAAACTGGAGACAGAAAAAAGTACATAATGTACTGAAAATTGACAGCACTTAATCAACTGAACAAGACAACTGAAATATGTGATGTGTACTGTAGATTTGTATATTGTGACAGATTATTTATTGGTCTCTAGATGTCTTTATTTATTTTGTTGTTTTTTTTTACCTTACATCCCCTTTTATTCATACTGACAGATTAAATAATATGATTTTAACTTGAGACTTTTAAGATAAAAAAAACCAGCAAAAACAAACAAGTGCTGTTCTTTTGTTTTTGGTTTTGTCAAGTGCATATAAGGATTTTATGTTATGAATTTCACCACATGCATTCCTTCTTTTCCTGTTATATAAAATGGAAACATATATTATACAATTACAGAAGAATGGAAGATAGGAGTTAATATGCCAACAAAGAGAGCAGATTTTGCTATTGGTGTGTTAGGAGGAAAAGTAGTATGTGCCGGTGGATTAGGTAAGTTTACATTCAGTAAATACTGTGATGTAAGAGGGGAAATTGAAACGGTAAAACATACAGCATTTCTGTTTGCTATAGCTGATCTGATACACTTTTTTTTGGAAAGGTTAATTTTTTAAAACAAACATGTTAATAAATAGATGAATAAATGACTACCAGAAAACAACATCTTTTTAAAGTTTGAAAACCATTTTATCAACATCATCCCTGAATGTGACCTATAACCTAATGAAAGCTAAGGCTTTTGGCCTCCTTTTATACAATGTTATTTAAATCCTGATTTTTTTTTCTTTTTGGTGATTGTGAGAAGATATTCTTTTCACTTAGATTTAAAATAAAAAAATCTATCTTCAATTGTTCTGTACACTACAGAGTTGATTTATCAAAAATAATAAAGAGGGGGCCAAAATTGTTTTGGAAAGGCAACAAGGGCAAAACGGTAAACAAAGAAAACATGTACCCTGTATGAAACACATTATGTTCTTTTATCCAGAATCTTTTTTTTTCATCACTAAAACTTTCATGTGATTAAGAAGTCATATCTCCAAACTCGATCTGGTCGTAAATATGGCAGCAGAACATTTTTGTGAAAAATTAAAAACTACTATGGGATATTTTAGTGCAGACATTATAGCTCATTTTAGTGCAGACATTATAGCTCATTTTAGTGCAGACATTATAGCCCATTTTAGTGTAGACATTATAGCCCATTTTAGTGCAGACATTATAGGCCATTTTAGTGCAGACATTATAATAGGCCATTTTAGTGCAGATATTATAGCCCATTTTAGTGCAGACATTATAGCCCATTTTAGCGTAGACATTATAGCCCATTTTAGTGCAGACATTATAGGCCATTTTAGCGATTACTTACCTGATTAAATAAAACTAACCATACTGAAATTATGAACAGTAATTTATGCTGGTTTCATGTTTAAGTTGTCTGCATTTATAATTTTGTTAATCATGGAAATACATGTTGTTGAAACAAACAAAGGAAATAAAAGTGCAACAAATGATAGCTGAAGTATCCAGCCATTTCTGTTTTCTGGATACTATCCCCAAATTACAATTAAGATAAGAAGTATTGATGAATCTGCTCTTCAATCTATACAAGAAGAAGAGTAGGAACAGTTCCTATCTCAATTTTATGAACAACCTTAATTGTACAGGGGGTATATCAAGAGCCTGTTACATACGTTAATTGGTACATAAACTCACTGACAATTAAACATTTGAAATAACTTTTGAGACTTTTAGCCCTATATTTTCACGGGCATGGTATTGTATAATATATTGTGCTGTCTTGATACCATTCAAATTTATTATTCTACAACGCATGAAATTCTTTAACTTAAATGGGCGTTGATAATTTCACTTTTCCTGAAAATGAGTAAAAATCTGGTAATTAAATGTCAGATTTTTGGCGCTTAAATGTCCTATCAATGCGCCACATAAATTTATTGTTGATTCACAATTAAAATCAGTTTTCTTATTTGGGTTTCATATGAAATTTGATGAAATTATTATTTTTCAGGTGGACCTGGCAAACCTTTAGAAACTGTAGAAGTTTACGACTGGGAACATGACAATTGGACTAAAATTAAAGATATGCCCACTACACATTGTTCATGTGCCTATATTTTAAAAGACGATAAATTGGCTGTTATAGGAGGTTTATCTACTACAGGGCCTAGTTCTTGTACAGAAGCTCTTAACTTTAGACCAGATAGATAATCATGTTGAATGTTAGGATTTTCAATTTCAGCAATGAATTTTTCACTTGATCAAATTTGAGACAATTTTAAATCCACATTGGATATATTGCATGAAATCATGACTGCTTAGGAGATATTTGTGGAACTTCATGAATACTGTAAATATAGAAATAAAAAATCTTTTCTGCTTGATTGTTGTATGAAATATAGACTTCCATTATAAATTCAAGCAAATACAGGTACCATTATTGGCTAAGATGTCAATTTCATAGAACTAGAACTTAAATTTTGACAATGCTTCAGACTTTATTTGCTGCAGCATTCCCATATTGTAACAATTACTTAAAGTAGACTTGACACAATGTTTATTTTCTTCAAAAAAGGTTTATTACTACATAACTGCCCCCAAAAAATACATCTTTAGCAAGTTTAAATGTCAACTAATTGTTAAAATATGTATTTAAAAGTATCGATCTATTGACCTAATCAATATGCATATTTCAATCCCGGAAGTCACTCAGAAAGAGGCTGCTAGATCATTAAGAAGTTTTTTGCATTAATTCTTATTTACAGTACTGTAAAATGGTAAATTTTCACAAAGGGTTTATTTTTTCTTATTTTATGATTAAGATAAATTAGCAAAAATATCCCTCCTCAGAAAGTTTAAAATCCTTAAGGCATATCATAATATAAGACATGAAAAACATGAACATAAAACCTCTGGAACTTGTTTGGCCTTTGGAATCACAAAATTTGAACAAAAAATAAAACTGCTTTGCAGAATCTTATATGATTGTGAAAGATGAATTTTGATGAATTATTGCATCATCTTTTTATTTGAATTTAAATTTTTAGGCATGTAAATTAAAACTATATTTTTCATATGTCCATTGTTATTTATTTGCAAGAATCATCCAATATATTTTTATTATTTATCCATCAATACCTCTACTATGTATATTTACTGTATTTTTCTGTATTGCATCATATCAATAAAGTTCTGAACTATAATATGCATGAATGAAAAACTTTTGTTTTACAATGTAAGTATTTTAGAATAAAAAAAAGTGCAATATATTTCTGAAATTAATTATAAAAAATATACATGTATAAACATTACAACTTACCAATATCTATGCATTATGTATTTTAACTTACCTTAATATTCCTATTACACAGTGCATGTGTACAAACTATCAAGGACATGTCATTGACCTCTAAATATATGTCATGGTTTTTTGTTGAATAAATTATTTTTAACCTTTTTTGCATATATTTTTGCATTATAAACAAATTGTATTACAGCATTCAGCATTGACTTCAAATATTTTGTTGATAATTTTTTTAATGTGAGTTTAACTCCACTGCTTTTTTTAAATAAACTAAATCATGATTATTTTTTGTTTTTTAATTGTTAATGTTATGAAAATAGGTACAAAACTGTACAATGTTTTTTAACTTGATTTTTGTTTAGGGGGAGGATATTCAGCCTTGGAGTATCAGAGTATCAGATAATCATAGGCAGATTTAAGGGGAATGGGGCCCACAAACAGCCCTTTTGGAACTACAAATAAGATTAATGCCAAGATTTATTACAAGTTCCACTCCTAACGTTGCCATGCTGCCCCCATCCCCCTTTTTTCAAAATCTTGGATTTGCAACTGGGTATTAAAAAGTTGGACTCTTTGTAGTTAAAATGACTTTTTCTTATTTCAGTTTAAAATCTAAAATATAACCAGAATTTGAAAAAAGGGTTTCACTTTTTATTCTCTTCATTTTATATTGAAAATACTCGAAAATTTTGGTTCATTTGTGAAATTGAAGTATTCTCTATTGAAGGTGCAGCAATGTTAAAAAAACACTCTGTAAATGCAAGTACACACACTTAGCTAATGTTCTCATAGGAATAGTATTCAGATATTATTTAAATTAAATGTCAGGTTTTTACAGAAATAATGTGTTCTGTTTAATTCAGTGCCATATACCAGTAGTATTAACTTTATTGAAGACCTACCTTTTCTTAATCCTGAGAATATTGGAAATTACTAAAATTTTCAGTTCAAAATATGTTTACTTATACATAATTTCTTTAATGGACAAAGCACATGTGTGCAAAAGTTTACAATCCTAGTGTTCTTTATATATGGACAAAGACAGAAAGATAAAACATCATGTTTTGGTATAATTTATATATTAAACAACATGTTTTGGTATAATTTATATATTAAACATCATGTTTTGGTATCATTATATATTAAACAACATGTTTTGGTATAATTTATATATTAAACATCATGTTTTGGTATAATTTATATATTAAACATCATGTTTTGGTATAATTCATATGGTAAACTTCATGTTTTGGTATAATTTATATATTAAACAACATGTTTTTGTATAATTTATGTATTAAACAACATGTTTTGGTATAGTTCATATATTAAACATCATGTTTTGGTACAATTCATACATTAAACAACATGTTTTGGTATAATTCATACATTAAACAACATGTTTTGGTAAAATTCATATATAAAACAGCATTCATACATTAAACAGCATGTTTTGGTATAGGTCATACTTTAAACAGCATGTTTTGGTATAATTCATGCATTAAACAACATGTTTTAGTATCATTCATATGTTTAATCAGCATGTTTTGGTATAATTCATGTACTTAACAATGTTGTGGTAAAAATCATCCATTTATTTAAAACAATGTTTTTATATGACCGCAAAAATTAAAAATTTTTTGGTCGTATATTGGTATGATGTTGGCGTCGTCGGCGTCGTCGTCGTCGTCGTCTGGCGTCGTCCGGCGTCGTCCGAAGACACATTGGTTTTCGCACTCTAACTTTAGTTTAAGTGAATGGATCTCCATGAAATTTTACCATAAGGTTCAATACCACGAAAGGGAGGTTGGGATTGATTTTGGGGGTTATGGTACCAACAGTTAAGGAATTAGGGGCCAAAAAGGGGCCAAAAATAAGCATTTTTGTAACTTCCAGACAATAACTTGTGTGTAAGTGTATGGATCTCTCTGACATTGTACCACAAGGTTCCATATCACAAAGGGAATGTGGGGATTGATTTTGGGGGTAATTGGCGCAAAATTTTAGGAATTAGGGGCCCAAAAAGGGGCAAAAAAACAAGCATTTTTCTAGTTTCATGATAATAACTTGTGTGTAAGTATATGGATTTTTGCTGAAATTGAACTACAAGGTTCCATATCACAAAAGGGAAAGCTGGAATTGAGTTTGGGGGTAATTGCCCAAAACGTTTAGGAAAAAGGGGCCAAAAAGGGGCCAAAAATAGCATTTTTCTAGTTTCCAGACAATAACTTGTGTTCAAGTGTATGGATCTCTCTGAAATTGTACTGCAAGGTACCATACCACAAAGGGAATGCTGTGATTGATTTTGGGGGTAATTGCCTCCAAATTTTAGGAATTAGGGGCCAAAACGGGGCAAAAACCAAGCATTTTTCTAGTTTCAGGACAATAACTTGTGTGTAAGTGTATGGATCTTTATGAAATTGTACTACAAGGTTCCATATCACTAAAGGAAAGCTGGGTTTGAGTTTGGGGGTAATTGCCCTAAACGTTTAGTAATTTGGGGCCAAAAAGGGGCCTAAAAACAAGCATTTTTCTAGTTTCCAGACAATAACTTGTGTTCAAGTGTATGGATCTCTCTGAAATTGTACTGCAAGGTACCATACCACAAAGGGAAGGCTGGGATTGAGTTTGGGGGTAATTGCCTCAAAATTTTAGGAATAAGGGGCCAAAAAGGTGCAAAGAACAAGCATTTTTCTAGTTTCAGGACAATAACTTGTGTGTAAGTGTATGGATCTTTATGAAATTGTACTACAAGGTTCCATATCACAAAAGGAAAGCTGGGTTTGAGTTTGGGGGTAATTGCCCTAAACATTTAGGAATTTGGGGCCAAAAAGGGGCCTAAAAACAAGCATTTTTCTAGTTTCCAGACAATAACTTGTGTTCAAGTGTATGGATCTCTCTGAAATTGTACTGCAAGGTACCATACCACAAAGGGAAGGCTGGGATTGAGTTTGGGGGATGATGAATCATAAGGGGGTTCAAAAAATTTAGTGGAGGGATTTTTTTTTTCTTTAAAATTTTCCATTTTAAATTGGTTATTTCTGATTTATATATAAAAGCAAATAATAATGATATGGTTTGAATAGGTAAATTAAAATTTTTTAAGTTCTTAGACCACATTCATTCTGTGTCAGAAACCTATGCTGTGTCAAATATTTAATCACAATCCAAATTCAGTGCTGTATCAAGCTTGAATGTTGTGTCCATACTTGCCCCAACTGTTCAGGGTTTGACCTCTGCGGTGGTATCAAGCTGCGCCCCAGCGGAGCATTTTATTTTCTTTTAAAATTTTCCATTTTAAGTTGGTTATTTCTGATTTATATTTAAAAGCAAATAATAATGATATGGTAGGAGATAAACACCAAACAGGATGTGTAAATTATTATATAATAAGTATTGTGCAATAGCAAGAAATTTTCAATTGCACAGTATTGCACAATAGCAAGAAATCTTCAATTGCACAGTATTACGCAATAGCAAGAAATCTTCAATTGCACAGTATTGCGCAATAGCAAGAAATATCCATTGGCACAATATTGCGCAATAGCAAGAAATTGTCAATTGTACAGTATTGCGCAATAGCAAGAAATATTCAATTGCACAGTATTGTGCAAAAGACGATACTTCGTATAAATTGCTTATTTCTTGATCAATTTCAATGGGGTTTTATTCTTGAATTCTTGGGGTTCTTTAATATGCTGAATATAACCGTGTATTAAGTTTTTGGATTTTGGGCCCCGTTTTTAAATTGGTCCACATTGAGGTCCAAAGGGTCCAAAATTTAACTTTGTTTGATTTCATCAAAAATTGAATTATTGGGGTTCTTTGATATGCCGAATCTAACCGTGTATTTAGATTCTTAATTTTTGGTTCCGTTTTCAAATTGGTCTACATTAAGGTCCAAAGGGTCCAAAATTAAACTTAGTTTGATATTAACAAAAATTTAATTTTTAGGGTTCTTTGATATGCTGAATCTAAACGTGTATTTAGATTTTTGATTATGGGCCCAGTTTTCAAGTTGGTCCAAATCGGGGTCCAAAATTAAACTTTGTTTGATTTCAACAAAAATTGAATATATTGGGTTCTTTGATATGCTGAATCTAACCATGTATTTAGATTTTTTATTTTTGGGCCCCGTTATCAACTTTGTCCACATTGAGGTCAAAAGGGTCCAAAATTAAACTTTGTTTGATTTCATCAAAAATTGAATTCTTGGGGTTCTTTCATATGCTGAATCTAACCATGTATTTAGATTTTGGATATTGGACCATAATAGGTGAATGTCCAATTTAAAATTTTTAAGTTCTTAGACCACATTCATTCTGTGTCAGAAACCTATGCTGTGCCAAATATTTAATCACAATCCAAATTCAGAGCTGTATCAAGCTTGAATGTTGTGTCCATACTTGCCCCAACTGTTCAGGGTTCGACCTCTGCGGTCGTATCAAGCTGCGCCCTGCGGAGCATTTTATTATTAGAATGTTTTGGTATAATGATTCTTTTCAACAACATGTTTTGGTTGAAATAATCTATTAATCGCAATATTTTTGTATAATGCATATATTGAACAAAATGTTTTGGAATAAATAATCTACTATACACTAAATGTTTTCAATTTGAAACGATTAAGAAGATATTAATTTGGAAACTTAGATTTAATGATAAAAAGATCATTTAACATTGTGAGAGATTTTGGTCAGATGAATTTCTATCAATAGACTCTGGCTACCCTTTATTGTGACATAGATTATACCATGATTAATTCTAAATGTTACATCCTTGAGAAATCTTCTTTTCTGCTGCAGCTGATCATCTACAAACAAAGAGAGATAAAGAATATAAAAGAATTTTTGTTTTTTTTCATCGAATATAAGAAACACATTTAATCATGACTTTTTCATCAATGATTCACTGAAGCACATGTATTATATGCAACATTAATTGGTTTGTGTTTCAGAGTTTTATGAATTAATTACACAAGTATGTTTCTGTGAAGGATGTGTGTAGACTTATTAACTTTGTATTACAGTGTTTGCCTTTTCTATTAAATTTTTAACTCTTTATAACAATGTTGTAGTTTATTATATAAATCCAAGAAGGTGAGAATCATTTGCTTGCAAAATATCAGAAATCTTTGAAGGTTACTGCAAGGTGCTTGGAACTCATACTTCATATAAGGAGTGATCAAATAGCCATCAAATAAGATATTATTACATATGATATAAACAAGCCTTTCAATACCAATCCAGATTAGCTCGACTACCAACGTGTACAGTATATGTAATACAAAATATTAATAAGAGATGCAAAAGATATCAAAGGGATAATCAAACTCATAAGTTGGAAATGAACTGACAATGCTATGGCAAAATAAGAAAAACATCCTGAAGACCAACAACAGTAAACAAAACACAACCCTCAAAACTGAGCAACACCAAAACACTGGGGGTGATCTCAGGTGCTCAAGAAGGGTAAGCAGATCCTGCTCCACATGTGCCATCTGTTGTGTTGCTCATGTAAGTACAAACCCTGTGATAAGTCTAATTTAGCAGGTCATATTTGAGGAAAAGATCAAGTGATTGTGGTTACCATAATGGGAACATTTCAATTGTCATGTGTGTAACAGATATTCCATAACAGTCATCCAAATGTTGATGGTGTCTGTTAATTTTTTGGATGATGATCTCAACTTCACCACTTGGAACTCATTGTTTAAAATCTTCCTTGCTAGCAGCAGTCCTTTATTAAGGAAATCATGATAGGAAATGCAAGCTCTGGGAAATATATACTCCTTATGCAGGCACAGCTTGAATGTTGTCACATAGAAATGGAAAGTTCACAATTGGTAAACTGAAATCATATCTTTTGTCATAAAGTTTTGTTCTCAACCGACCCTCATTGTCAAGATATGAGGCAGACTTAACTGTATCTGTTGTATCCTTTATTTCAAGTTTGATGGGATAAATGCGTTCAACATAGTCACCAAACTTTTAATTATTTAGTAAGAAGATATCACCTTTATAGTGGAACGTGAAGTTAAAGGGTAATGCAAGCTTCTTTTCACTCTTCTAAAGAAGCTCCTGTATGAATTCTGCCTCAAATGAATAAAGGAACAAGTCGACAAGATGAGGGGCACAGTTGGATCCAATGGGAATGCCGATTGTTTATTGAAAAACACGTCTTACAAACGTAAATGATATGTTGTCAATTATGAAATCAAGCATCTTGATAATGTCAGTTTCAGAGAATATTTTGTTTGCATCCGAGTGGTATTTCACAAAGTACTATTTATCCCTCCTTTAGACAACATATTTGTATCAAAATTGTCATTCTTTTTTATGAAACTTAGCAGGGCCAATTTTTTGTCTCGCCTGCGACGAGACATAGGGATTGCTTTTTGGGCGATGGTGTCAACAATTGTTAAGTTTTCTGTTGAAGTTAGTTTGATAGGAATTTCTTGTGATAGATCAATGATGTTTTGTATGAAGTTGCATTACTATCAGTACATTTCAGTTTGACAACAATTTTGAGGCCCTGCACCCTAGGCCATAGTCCAGTGACTGAATTAATTAGCCATTTTCAATGTGAAGTTTTCTGCTTAAGTTAGTTTGATAGGAACTATTTGTGAGAGATCAATGATATTTTGTATGAAGTTGCATTGCTATCAGTACATATCATTTTGTATTTTGAGGCCCTGCACCCTAGGCCATGGTTCAGTGACTCAATTAATTAGCAATTTTCATTGATAAGTTTTCTGCTGAAGTTAGTTTGATAAGAGCTACTTGGGATAGATCAATGATATTTTCTATAAAGTTGCATTACTATCAGTACATATCAGTTTGACGACTATTTCAAGGCCCTGCCCCTTGGTCATGGTCCAGTGACTTTCAATCAATTAACAATTTTTGATGTTAAGTTTTCTGATTAGGTTAGTTTGATTGGAACTACTTACAATAGACAATATTTTCTCAGGGCCGTAGCGTAATGGAGGCAACTGAGGCAAATGCCTCACTTTTGAAACGACGACCAAACTTTAGAAGTGTAATTTTTTTTTCTTCAATTATGTATTTTACATTATCAATATGCGAGTTTCGAGTTTCAAATTATCTACCGGCACACTACATACAGTGTGTCCAATCTGCAGCAGCGATTGTAGCTTTTACCATAGCGGTGACGGTAAAAAAATAAGTGTTCCGAATACAAATCAAAATAAAAAAATTGAAACAAATCTTAATGTCGTTACAAAACTGGTTGAAGACGGGTTCTTTAAAGAGAAAAGAAGATGAAACAGGTAACTCATGAGTATAAACACCCCTATAAGTATGCTGGCTTATTACTTTCCTTGGTTTATGTTTGAATCGATAACGCTAAAATTACCAATGTTTACACTATCAACTCACTGAACAATAAATGCTAATCGATGGAGCCTCTGTCATGAGTTGACATGTACCAGGTGTACAACAGCGCATACGTGAACAATGTCCAGATGCACCTTTCGTTCACTGCAAGTCGCACAACCTTAACCTTGTGGTAACGCGAAGTTGCAAGGATGTGCGCCAGATACGGAATTTGATGTCATCAGTCGGCCAAATGACATGGTTCTTGTGTGCATCCCATAAGCGTAAAACCATTCTAAACTCATTTACAGGCAATACAAAATTAGAAGTTGATATGATTGAAGGTTTACAAAATGAGGAAGAAGATGTCGACATAAAACTTTTGAAAAAGGGTGAAGCGTTTATGCGAAACAAAGTGGACAGCAAGAGTAGACACGGTTTCGTCACTTCTAGCAAACTACAAATCCGTTCATGCTGCTCTGACTAAAATTGAAAATGTAAGCACAAGTGATGCTAGGACAAATGCAAGTGGTTATCGGCGCTTCCTGGAAGACCCCGAATGCATTGTCGCCGTGTTAGTGGCCCAATTTGTCTTGAGCATTCTTAAGCCACTAACATTGTTCCTTCAAAAGACTGACTGCAACATGGTGGATGCTTTTGAGGAATCAAAAATTCTTCTGGAATTATTGCAGGAAAAGAGAACAGAGGAAAATTTTTCAGAACTTTTCAGATGAGGTACTGTCATAGCAGATGCTATTGAAATAGACTTAATGCCACGTAGGCGAGTTGGGCGTCAAGTTCATAGGGAGAACGCAGCAACTGCCTCTACTGTAGAGCAGCATTGGCGAATTAGTTTATTTTCCCCATTTTTGGATCACGTCATTAGTGAAATGCAACGCCGGTTTCCTGATGAGGTAAACAATCAAATGTTAGGATATTACCTTATTACAAAAAATGTAGGCAAGTTAACACCGGAATTAATTGAACCCCTTTACCAAGCATTTCCGGGCGTAACTAACATGGAAGAGTTAACATGTGAACTTGAAAAGTGGGTAAGAAAGACAGTAGCAATGCTAGATGAAGGAAGCCTACAGACAGCAATTAAGCTAGCCAACAAAGACTTATACCCAAATGTTTTCATAATGATACAAGTACTTTCAACTCTGCCTGTCACATCAGTCTGTTGTGAGAGATCGTTTTCAAGTTTAAGGCGTTTGAAAACCTGGGAACGGGCTACAATGGGTGGTGACAGGCTTTGTGGACTTGCCATGCTCCATGTGCATAGGAATGATACAGTTGACAAAGAACGTGTGTTAATGCTTTTCGATAGTACAGGTCACAGGAGAATCGGAAAATTTTGGTTGACCAACAGAGATTAACTTTAATATTGAAACTTGTTTTGTTTCTTACTAGGCTAACTAATAAACAAAAACCGCATTTCTGTTATTTTTTTTTTGTTGTTTTTTTATTATCAATACATTGACCTCTCCCATAGTAATGCTGAAATAAGCTTCTCCCATTTCAGGCACCCGAACCCTCCTAAAAACATTTTTCGCCTCGCTCCGCTCGGCGATTTGCCTCATTTGATTTGGACATGCGCTACGGCCTTGTTTCTATAAAGTTATATTGCTGTCTGTACATCTCAGTTTGTCAACCATTTCGAGGATCTACCCACTAGTTGGTCCAGCAACTTTGAATTTATTAGCAATGTTGCTGTCCATCAGATTGTCTTTTTCTGAATTTTATGCGACAGGCGAGACATATCTATGTGTCAACAGTTTATTTCAATTTGTCTTTTAGTTTGGATTGGGGAATACTTGTGTAAAGGGTTGAAAAGTCGAATGTTTTAGTACTATTGCAAGATGAAAGAGACTTAGATTGTGTATATTCTAACAGATCTTTGGATTTTTTTTTTATCAACATCTGATTCAAGATTGAAGATCTACACTACTAGCAGGAGCATACAAGTCAATGCATGTAAAGTGCTAAAAAAATCTAACACCACAAAGCCGGCTCAAATTCCTGATAAGAAATATCTAAGGGTCATCAATCTCGGACCAAAATATCAAATTATCATCTTAAAACAACATCAGCGTTACCAAGGGATCAATTGTGTCCATTCATGTCCAAGGCTTATCCAAATGTCGATGTCGTCGATATCAACAATGTCGACACGATATCGATTCGATGAACTTATCCACAAACATAACCAGATGTCGATTTCTGTGAAGACACCCATGGCAAAACCTGATGTCGACATCATCGATATCGATAATGTCCACTCAATGTCAAATCAACATTGATCATGACTTAATACCTGATCAAGTTTAGACCGAATAAAAAGATTGATATAGGGTCAGATGATGGCTGAATTGTAATCAATTTATTATTTCTATCGTATTTATACAAGGCAATCAGATCTAAAAGTTACTGTATCCTTTATAAAACATATTTCATTTGGTTGTATAGCATTGACATGATATCTTATGTAATAACTAGGTAGACAGGTCATATATAGTTACACACAAAGACTGTCAAAATACAGAGACAGTACAGACATAACAAAATATTTAATGTTTAAATCCATGGGATGTGAACTGATTCACATTTCAAACGGAGAAACATGGTTTATTATATTGGATGGAATAAGATTTGAACTTGCTTTTGATAACTTTGAGTACTCTAAGATCGCTACTTTGTGTTTTTGGTTATTGTGTGCTGTGTTT